GTGTGTGTGTGTGTGTGTGTGTGTGTGTGTGTGTNTATATGCGTGTGTGTATATGTGTGTGTGTGTGTGTGACAGAGGGAGAGAGAGTGTGTGTGTACGTATGTATATATATATATATATATACGAGTACACAACACCCTGATTACAAGAGACGCACCTGGTTAACAGCCCTGAGATAGGCCATGGGTGCTATTGTGGTGTTCATCCAATTGGGATACAGTCCTTCGCTGAGCCCATTGAGGAACCAATCAGAATTGATCATAGACGCGGCGCCACTCTCCGAAGTGATAGAGGCGAAAGCGTCGTAGGACATGTTACCTATGGCCATCCCCAGGTTGTTGAGTGTTGTATCTGGGGTGGGTGGTAGGGTTTAGGGTTTAGGGTAAGATCTGGTGTGTGGCAGTGATGTATAAACCCTATAAAACCCTACTACTACGGATGTTCTTTTAACAAGTAACCATTTTCAGTTGAGATACACGTGTTTGTTTTCGTTCACGATCAGAATGTTAATGGCAGATCTAAATCAATCATTCGCATGAAGTTCGGTACTCTATCGTATAACGAGTCCAGTGTCAGTACAGTGATAGTCGGATGTCGAGCAGACTAAACAGAGCACACGCATATACGAGTGGTATGAGCCTATTACACGGGTAGGTATCTCTCCTACAGCAATGCACAGCGATGGGTCAACAGACGCACACATTGAACACAGCTAGTGAGGACTATACATACAGGATGGTTGAATAGACTATACAAAAAGGATGGTTGAATAGACTGTACATCAGGATGGTTGAATAGACTGTACATACAGGATGGTTGAATAGACTATACATACAGGATGGTTGAATAGACTATACATACAGGATGGTTGAATAGACTTTACTTACAGAATGGTGGAATAAACTATACATACAGGATGGTTGAATAGACTATACATACAGGATGGTTGAATAGACTATACATACAGGATGATTGAATAGACTATACATACAGGATGATTGAAAAGACAGATCACAGCAATAGGGTGTAAGATTTTGGGGGTTTCAAGGTAACATACACACTGGGAGGATGTAGCAACAGGTCAAAAGAGTGATACCTGATGAGCCTACACATACTGTACTGTAGTATGGATATACACAAATACGCTGATATATCTACGTGCATACACACACACATACACATATCAACCCTTGGCAACACACACTCACTTTCACTCACTTTCACACACACATGCACACCCGCAACCACCCACCCACCCACACACAACCGGGCATACCTGTGAGGTTCAAGCTGTCATAGAACGCCCACATAGGGTCAGCCACAACATCATAGGCCGATCTGACTGCCTCCTCAGCTTCCGTCTCATTCAATGCGTTGAGGTGTTCGCTCGCCCACATACCTACACCCATACCTACATCCCCCAGCAGTTTGTCAACACTCGCACTATCGTCCGCGTACAGAGTGACGGTGGGGCTGAGAACTGGAACCTAATTTGGTGGGGATAGGGTAGGGCAGGTATTGTAGGTGTGTACTCGTTGCGTTCGCGATGGAAAGTGGGTATAAATAGGCGTTATTTATTTATTGATTAATTAATGTATATATATATATATATACGTATTAACTACATGACAAGGTGAGATGAATATAGAGACGTGCACTCAATAGGTCAACTATGAGAAAGATGGCATAAATATAAATACAGAAGGTTTTAACTATACATTCGCTACTTCTGTAATGATATATATATACATACACACTCACACTCTCACTCACACTCCCAAACACACACACACAACTATATATATATATATATATATAATATATATAAATATATGTATATG